AAGGAAGGTTGAATTGTTGGACACTTGCTTCAGAAGATCATTAACTTCTCATAATGGACCCTTTACTGTCTTCTCCAAAATGATTGAACTCCAAAATCAAAAGTATGTATGTAAGGATGAGAGATCAAATTAGAAACAGAAAATATTAAAGGTTTTCAATGTAAGATCATTGAACACATTTGAAAAAGAGATAGATGTTAGATAATAAAACTCATTTGTGTTGGTCATAAGTATTCAAATCTTGTTCTTAAAGGTGGGGTAGGTAATTTTGAAGAAACCAGCTCGAGTGCGCTAGAATTTGAAAATACACGACCGGAAAAAATCTACCACTTCCTTATAGAGCCCCTCCTCCAACACACAGGAACGCGCACATGACCAATGAGGGCACGATATAAGTTTGTGCACAGATGGAAGGCTGACAGGCAGGTAGGCCATCCAGTTGTTTTAGCCGGGCAGGCTAAAATGATTGGTCGTGCTTTTTACAGTACTACGGCTTCCACAGATGACATTTTTTTATGGATTTGTTGTCAAAGCACTTAAAATATTCATTGCTATCGGGATGTTAAGAGCATTCCATGGAATATAACAAAAAGTGTATCTCGAGCAGGTTTCTCAAACGTACCTACCCCACCTTTAAGTACAAATAAAAACATGTTACATTTTGCATAGACTCACCTACATCAGAATAATTTGTCTCATTGTATAAACAATAACATTTAAACCATTAAAAGAGTTTTACTTCAAATAGTAGTTGTGTTGTTCCTTCCATGTTGTTGGCTTCTTTTCAGCCCACTGAGCCAGCAGTCCTGGAGAACACTGTCTGTTTTTGTTCTTGGTTTTTTTTCCTCCGCAAAGATAAAAGCACCAACCACATCCCTCTTCCCTGTTATAGACCTTGCTCTTCAGCGCCGCCTTTGAAGATTTAATCAGTCAGATTTCCTTGATTAATCCTTTTTCATGTCCTTTCACGGTAAATAATTACAGATACGATCGCTAGCTTGATAGAGAGGACAGCATGCAGATTTCTGATTGAGCCGAGTCCCCAGGTACCTCCATTAGCCTGATTATTCTGATCCAAACACACTCCATCAACCAGTTTACATGTAAATAGGTTCATTTCATTCCCACTGCTCGCTCACTCTGCTGGCAACACTGTATTTAACAATGGGAATCTTACCAAAATGTTTCTGTTTTATTTAGTCTTTACCTTGTGCAACAATACTGTCAAATGTTTAATTTGCACATTAAAAAGGCTGATATTTAATCCAGTTTATTGTGTTTGACAGATGACTAATATTAAACCTCTTACTGTATGAAGCTCAAGAACAGGGACTCTCTTTCTCGACTACAGTATTTCTAGAAGGCTTGTATCAGACTCCACAGTTACAGCAGGTTGTCTAATGGTGACATCTAGCGGCCAAATACCCATCATCATCTCGTTTTATGATTTTATTTCAGTCACAAGCTTTCACCACTTGGTGGCAGTGCAACTCTACCTTTTACATTCATTGAGTCAGCACTAACAAATTAATCTCATGACAGAAACATTATTTCTCATTGGCACAAACATAACAGGCTGATGCTTTTTCCTGAACTATGAGTTAAGATACCTTTATCTGTGCCTGGGCGAGTCTTTAGCATCATTGGTTCTTTGTTGTGGCTGTAGCTGCGAACCGTTGTGAAACAGAGGAGAAGATGATCTGCTGCCCCGACTGCCCCTCTCCCCTCAGGATTAGTGAGTTAATGCAACCATTCAGACACTGAGCTCCGATCAGCTGCTTAATACTGTTTCATCCCAAATAACACAACCATGCACGCAGCATGGTGCTTCACGGACGCGCACATAAACATATACCTACTTAATCCAACAGATTAAATATACATTTTATATGTTTTTGAAATGTAGATCGCTCACTCGAAGCTACAATATGAACAAAAACTCTGTGAATGCTTTGTTTTCTGGATTTCTAATTTTAAAGAATTGTCTATATATTTCCCAGATCTTAAGTCCAGAATTATTACAAATATAAGTCTCTTTGAAAGAGGTGCTTCATTTAACCCATAGTAAATATTAATGTTTTATTTTAAACTATATTATCCATAAATATAAAATGGTATTTGTACATTTGTGTATGCTCAGTTGACCTGTGCAACAACTAAAAGCCTTCGAATGCAAGGGTTAGCGTTGAAAACTGTCTCTTTTTTTATGATTTGTACCAATTTACCAGAAGAAAACGTAGTATTTTACATACATGTAAAAATGGGATTTTACATTAGTTTTAGTTAGCATGAGATATTGCTGCTGCCATCATGGTCTCATTTAGACCATTTTGTCGTCACAGTCAGAGGGGTCAGGGGTCAAAAAGGACGAATTCAGCCCTTTGTTTGTCTTGGGTGAAAAAGTGGCCTTTCAAATGGCAAATCCTTTTCCCCCTAAAACTCTGGTCTATCAGCGGTCTATCATCTATCATGAGGGTAAATCAGGAATATCCCACATATCGTGTGAGACGTCCTGTGCCTTCAAAGAGCAGAGAGATGCCCTGCTTTTGTTATTCATCCGGCCCCTTCAAAGTCACTCCCTGGTCCCCCTGGTTAGTAGCGCAAATGCACTACAAACACACACACACTCACACACACACACACAGGCTTATCCTAATCCTTGTGAAAACAAAGTCATATATTTTTCCCACCACGGGTCAGGCGTGGGATGTTCATCAGCATGTTTATCAGGATTATGAGCATTTCATCCATAATATAACCTCTCACATCATACTTACCAAACACTCAGTGTTCCAAATGAAAAGCTGTGGTGACTTTGTGCAGGAATAGATGATGAGTTGACCAGCAGAAAGAGGACTCAACTGGCGACCATGACTCTTTCAGACCATTCCCACCAGTGAGCCATGACCCAGTGTGACCTTGTGACCCCCGCTCACTGACCTCTCAGTGGGTGGCCCTCACACTGACCAGCCTGGACCATGAATCAACACAAGTGGCTGCTCTTAGATCAGATCTTTGTTATTCTTTTGCCATTGTCTTCTCCACTTTGACAGTACATTTCCAGCCCGATATATTTCTACTCAGTCAGTTATTTGTTATAACGTTGCCCTTTTCCACCTGTTGTCGTTCAAACACACAATACTTATTTTTCTGCCCCAAGGGTTTCTCAATCAAACAATAGCAGGAGACGGAGTTTGATGGAATCCATTTCACTCAGATTTGTTGAGGAGGCTTCAAACAGCAACCGAGGTATCTGCCGATGTCTCCACGCCAAAACAAACTGACCAAGTGAGTGAGACCAGTTTTAGCAGTTTAAAAATGCAGTTTCTTCAACGGTGGTCAACTGCTCCTAGTGTCTGCTCAGATTATTTTTCTGTCCTAAGATCTAGATATCCAATGACTAAAATCCTTCCAGCAGTTATGACAGCTTTTGGTAGACAACCACAACGATGCTTTAATGAAACGTACCGTTACCTTGTCTTAAATCACAGATTGCTCTTGGTTTGAAAATTGTTGAAACATATATACAATAAATGTTTATGACTAAAAAACATAAATAAAATAGGTCTGGTTGTTTTTAGACTTTTAAATGTGGAAAGTATATATCATAACCTAAATGTTTCTCCATTACTTTGTAATCCTCAGATTCACTCGTGCTTCTTCGTAGAAAAAATGGAAAGTCTTATATTTCCAACCCTATCAATCCTGATTTAGATTGCATTAGGAATGTGTGTGTTCCTGAATGTATGTGTACAGTATATATGAAAGGTCACCAGTGTAAATGTAGAGACATGTGTTTATTACATATGTGAAGGTTAAGTTGTGGTCTGAGTGAACGTCATGACGGGATTATGCCGTCCCAGTGTGAGTACAGAAGAAATCTGTGGCAGCCATGTTAATCATAAATCTTTATCTTACAATCCTGCCTCGCACATCCGCCCTTTCATTAAAAGACGGCCAAAGGATTAGTGAAGCTAAACCATTGAGATCTGGGGAGAAAAATGAAAAACAACGTAGCGAGTAACAAGGATCCTCGCCCTGTTGATGGTGCTGCTGAATTGATGGGTTCATATGATAAAAAGAGGAAGAAGAATTGCTCTGATAAATAATGTTAATATACTTTGTGTCTACCTACACTCACCTAAACAATCAACCAGAGTAATGACTCATAGCATGCTAGTCCATCATAATCCATGCTTAATCATAATACCGTTTACCGATGGTAAAACAGCTGTGACTTGTTTTCTTGCATTGTAAAGACTCTATGCTGCATTATAATGGATTATCATGTAAAACAGCAACATGGAGGGAATCCCAAGTAACCTGTCTCAGCATTTTTGATGGGATTTTAAATTAATCAGAAATCTACAGTTGTTTATGGTTTGTTAGAATATTCACTTTTAATATCTTAAATACAAATGTACAAAATGTCTATCTTCTTTTTCTTTGAATATATCTATATGTCTTATACCCTTAAGTACCGTTCCGAAAGCAGTCACATTTGACTTGTGTCTGCTTTCAGGTATCTTCCATAATAATCACACACAGTATAATGCAGCATAGATTATTTTAAATGGTGACATGGCTTTCTTTGTGTTCTTTCACTTTGTATGTTTCGCTTCGCCTTTAAACATCTTGGGACTATGTTGGATACAAGTTATTTCAAAAATAAGGCGTCTGTCTATCTGTGTGTCTGTCTGTCTGTGTGTCTGTCTGCCTGCCTGCCTGTCTGTCTGTCTGTCTGTCTGTCTGTCTGTCAGTCTGTACTGTCTGTCTGTCTGTCTGCCAGTCCTTCTGTCTGTCTGTCTGTCTGTCTGTCTGTCTGTCTGTCTGTTTTACAAAAAGCAAACACAAAATCCACGGACTGATTGATTTCTTAATATTTTAATAACATAGAATTTTCAAAAAGACAACAGAAATGAAAAACACTAACAAAATGGACATGTCCAAAGCAAATGTGTTGAATTTATTCATGAATAACCTGAGAATGACATTTCTGCTTCTTCACCTTGATCCTTGAATCTTGATGTTTAATCAATACATCTTTCTTCTTCAGACAACAGCTTCCGAAGATCAACTACACCGCGCTAGGAATTCTACATCTGAATTTGTTTGGAGTGCAAAACATGAAATAATGTAACGAACAACAAAGAAAATGACACAAAAGTAATATAATAGATTGACCACAAATATGTACAAAAGGAAACCAGACACACAACTGCACATCAGCACAAAGTTCATTTACACTGAATTAAATAAGAGAATAAATAAAAATACTTTTAATTTATGTAGAATATCTGATGTTACCAAAGTTAAATTAGTGCTTTTATCACAGTAACAGGACATCTGGTCCAAATGGTCAATGTTACGTTTCTTGTAAAGACCCTTGGAGGTTCTTAATTTATTTGGTAATCAGAGATTTAAAAAAATGTATTGGTTTCAAATGAATTTCCTAATTTTACCATATTCAGCCGTGCTAAGGTGCACAACACATGCTAGCAAACCATGTTTTATTCTACGGTTCCTTCACAAGCATAGAGACTGATCCTGCAGCCAGTCAGTGTTCATGAAGGATCAGATCAGTTCATTGAGGGTTTGAAGCAGAATCGACACTCCTGATCCGTCTTAGTCTCTGTAGACGGAGGTGATCTGTCGGGGGGGCATGTGCTGGGGGTGGTAGGAGTCATACGGCCCCTCTAAGTGTACGTCGTAGCCAGTCTGAGTCTGATACAGACCCTGCTCCACCGGGGAGGGGGAGTAGTGGTGTTGAGGGGGGTAGTGCGGTGACGGCTCCTGTTTGGGCACCAGGTTGCTGCTGATGCTCAGAGGCGGTGTAGGGGGGCCATCGTACGGAGGGGTCCCCACACCACCGCCATTATACTCATTTGGGGAGTGATTCTCATAAACTCCTCCTTTCATGGCCCTCAGGTGAAGCATGTGAGCAGAGTCAAACGTGCCGTACGGAGGGCTCGGCAGGCCAGGAGAGGAGTAGCCCACCACGCCACCGAGAGGAGCAGCCGCCGCCCGGACCCTGTGTCTGTCCTCAGGCCTCATCCCGGGCCCAGACCCCGGCCCCAGCTGCAGGCAGCCCGCCACCAGGTTGCTGGTGGGCTGTGAGAGGCCCTTACACAGGGTGTCCATGAAGGACCTGCTCTCTGTGGAGATGCCCCCATCCAGGGCTTCGGACAGAGCGCAGATGTAGTTGCGGGCCAGCCGTAGCGTCTCGATCTTGGACAGTTTCTGTGTTTTGGAGTGACAAGGCATGATGGTGCGCAGGCTCTCCAGAGCGTCGTTCAGACCGTGCATGCGGGAACGCTCCCTGGCGTTAGCCTTGACTCGCCTCACACGGAAGCGCTCCTGCCGGGCCTTTGTCATGCGCTTTTTCTTTGGCCCACGTCGTTTGGACTCGTTTTCATCCCCCTGTCCCTCCTCGTCATCCTCCCCGTCTTCTTCGTGTGCATCCTCGCTCCCCAGCTCCCTGTCCTGTTCATCTCCTCCATCTCTGTAGTGGTGTGATGAATCTGATGCATCTCCATCAGGCGAGCTCATGTCTCCGTCCACCCACTGCAGAGGGCTGGCGGCCTCCTCTCCCTCGCCTTGTCTTACATATGGCTTAATCATCATTGTACTGTAGAAACAAGGAAAAGGGATTGTCAATTTCATGTGCTGTGCAAATAGAATCATCATTACCATTTTACAGCCAAAGAATGCCATTGGACAAAAGCAAATATTTACTGCATGTAATGCTAAATCAAAACTAAGTAATGCACTCACTGTGATTCATATTTGATGCTACTACACCAATTAACGGCGGCAAATGTTGTTCTTTTAATCCATATTTAAATGGTTTGTATAGATATAGATGACCAGTTTATAATATATGTATTGTTTAAAGGTATGTTAACACAGCTACAACCAAATAATGATGCATTGAAATGTAGCATCAATGCTTTTACCTAAATAAAAGGTCTGATTTGTGTCCCCTTCTAAATATCTCTTCCCTGGCTTCTTCTGAGAAGACACTGAGGTCAAGTCCCTTTAATTCTTTCTCAGAATTGTGTTAGTAGGGCAGGACAATCACATATTAGAATTTAAAACGTGTGTGCATTTATAGGTTATAGATTAAAGACTGATTAAACCTTAATGTGATTGCTTTGATTGAAATAAAAACAAAGGATTCTGTATTTCTCCACCTCAGGCTGTGAAGAAGGTGAGCCCTCATTTCAGATATAAAAATATACGGAAATGTAACAGTTAACTGGAAAAATAATCAGAACACTAAGAACATTTCTTTGGTGTCTTCTGGTGTCTTTTTCTAAGGAGTTTAAGGGGATTATTTGGGGCTGTAACCTGGAGCCAGGTCATTTTAACTTTTTTATTAACCAATAATAATAATCTAACTTCTAAACCCTGCCTGCCAGCAGTTCTCAAAGTATTTCAGCACCGGACAGCTCCCTCTCGCTCCTCCGCCACAGGTGTGGGTGCTGTTTAGCCGACACAATAATGCGGAAGAGATTATCTAAAACGAGTGACCTTTATAGTGAGCGTTGGAAATGTGAGTTTTCATAGATGCATTATCTATTTTCATTCCTTTTCTCCCCCTCCCCCGTCACAGTAATCCCGGTTAACTTGTGAACTAGTAATGCCCGGCCTGCGAGATAAAGTCACTGACAGGACTTCAATCTGGGGCATCGCAGGATTTTCTCCGTGGATGAAGCGACGACCATGGGATTAAATGAAAGATCGACGTCCCCAGATCAGCGACAGACAACTCAGAGTGAATTGAAATCAGACCTTTTCAAAACGCACAACTATTATTGCCTCGACACAAATTGCTTGCTTGAGCTGCTTTTTGCTAAATGTCAATATTAGAATAAGCCTCTTTTACTAGTTGTATACTGTCTGTTGACTTGTTGTGTTTACCAGGAAATCATCAGCCAAATAAAAGACGTTAAACTCATGCGATTGAAAATAAACATGAAATCGAGTCACTTTAACTCTACCAGCCAACATAAATAACTTTAACATTTTAAAAACTTAAATCATACCCGTGTTAATATGCCCCGGTCCTCCACAGTAGGTCTGGCGGATGATACTCGTTTTTCAGAGTTATGTCTCTGTCAATAAGCGGTGAAGTGTCGCTGTGTCCCACAGTGTGAGCCTCAGTGTGGGTCACTCTGCGGGGGATCGGGATTTTAACCTCCCCGGTGAAGCTCCTCCCCCCGTCCCTGTCCTGCTGACGCGCTTGAGCTCGCGCGTGGCCGACCCGTGGCTCAAGCTCTAGTCGTGTGTGTGTGTGTGTGTGTGTGTGTGTGTGTGTGTGTGTGTGTGTGTGTGTGTGTGTGTGCGTGCGTGCGTGCGTGTGTGTGGTGTGTGTCACTTAAACTCCAGACAAACAGGAGAGGCCCGGGCCTTTGTTGCTTTGCGCCAAATCCGCAGCACGTTCGCATTGAGCGGCGCAGAGACGCGCTCAGTCGGCTGAGCCTAACTGTATGTGACAGCTTGAAGTTGCGTGTGAGCAGGTGTTTGCTCCATCCCTTCTTCCGTCCAGCCATCCATCCCTCTGCTCTGCGGAGACAGGCTGTTGAACAAGTTCATCTCACCCAGGCGGCAGCTCTGAGCAGCCGGGTGAGTTTGCTCTCATTGCAGCTATAGCATCAGTATATCTCTGGGACTCTTTAATGGCCTCCTCTCTGCACTATGGAGGTCCTTCTGCAGCTTAAATAACCACAACTCACACTGAATGTTCTAGGAGGACTTCTGATTGAAGTGTATATATACTTTGCCATCACATTTTGTCTGATCTCAATGTTTTGATTTACAATTAGGTTGTCTTAATTGATAAAAACAAGCACATAACTCAAAACTCTCAGTTGATCTGAGCACACTCAGTTCAATCTAACTGTTTGCTTAATGTGATTACTTTAGTATTTGTGTGTACGCGCATGTAAACAAAGTCTTTAGCTGGAAATATGATTTGTTTGTCTATACAGTCATTTCATTTGAAACGCTTGTTCTTAAGATATATACTATTTATTCATTAAAATACAAGAAAACTTGTAAGTCAAAGCATGATGAAAGCAAGCTGAGATTATAATTATCATAATTCCATTTTCAATTAAAATAAAAGAAGGTATAGGATTTGTTCATTTACCAATGATTTAGGGAGTTCATAAAGCTGGCAAAGAAGCCCCAACAAACACTGCTTTAAGTGACATCACTAAAGGCAATTGATCAGACTTCATGCAGCTCCCTCTGCAGCCACAAAGCTTCTTATACAACTTTTAATCACAAATGCAATAAAACACCTTAAAATGTAGTATTTGGGTAAATTATCCCATGTACTTTCTTAACCATAAGGATTGTGACCGTTCTTGGAGTGATTGTTACTGTGATTCATCACCCGATAATAATAATTATAGATCAAAGTTCAAACTTAATTCTAGTTGTAGATATGGCATTGATATACATAGACTAATTAAAGTGTATGGATACATTAAGGGTTGCAACTAACAATTGTTTTTGTCATTGATTATTTTTGCAGATTATTTTCTACATTAGTCAGAAAATAGGAAAAAATGTCCATCCCAGTACCTAAAAGTCTTAGGTGATGTCTTCAAAAGTCTTGTTTTGTCAGTCCAAAACCTACAAATATCTAATTGAATCCGATATAAACCCAAGAAAAGACGTCTTTACATTTGAGGGGCTGAAAACTACTTTTTTGCATGAAAAATAACAGAAAACAATTCAAATGCGACCAAAATAGTTTGTGATTACTTTTCCGTCAATAGATAGGTTTAATTGTTGCCGTTTAACATTCCTTAAATATTCAATTATAATTGAATATTTCTCTGAATCACACTTCAGTGACAAAGACGTGCACAACAACATTATATATTATAGACCCTCATCAACACTGATCGGGGAACAGAGAGCAGGGAATGTGCATGATTTGGAAACAGAGCACCACATGCCCTAACAGGGAGAATTGAGGTAGGTTACGAGGTTATCCGCACACCCAGACAAGGCTCTTCTCCATCCCCGTTCACTCCCAGGCCGACCACCTTCCCCACTGCCCCTCCCTGTGGGTCTCTGCCTTTCCTATTCCACACCTGCAGCCTGAAATGGGAATAGCAGAGCCGGGCCTCTTGCATCCCAGGAGTGGTACTAGCAGGGGAATATAAGAGCTGAGGCCCTGTGTCCCCATTACTTATACTCATAACACCTTTAATACAACTTAATCAAATCAGAATTTGTATTTGAAATTGTTTTAGGGCTATAAAGTTGCATACATAAACACCTGTAATGTTGAAACTGAAATGTTTCCTTTATTTGGATTCTTCTCTGTTTGACCCACTTACTGTGTATCACTGTCTTCAGGTGGGGCTCAAGTGTAATTCTCTATGTGTGCCATAATGTCCCATAAGATCCCTCAGTGCTGACCACACATGATGAAGTCCTGCTGCAGATGGCCCTCTCTTAAACATATCTCTTATTATAACAGTCTGTGGCTCAGATGCTCATCTATTCTCCACCGGCTGCTCAGCGCACTCAGCATGTTCACATGGCTCAGAGGACACCGCCTCACCTTATCTAGGTATGTTCGTGAGATGGGAATTGTTTATTATAATGAAATACGAAGGACAGATACAACTTCACTCCAGTACACACACAAACATGACCTTGCCATGAATCCCCTGTGAATCTGTTTGTGACAGTGGGGGAAAGTGGGCTTTTTCCATCTGTCATACTGGAAGTCCTCCGAGAGATGTCATCCCCACAGCACGAGGAGTGTGTGCATGTCAGTGTGTGTGTGTGTGTGTGTGTGTGTGTGTGTGTGTGTGTGTTTAGAGTAGTGGAGGGATTGCATATGCAGCAATCAAATACATTTTTCCTCCAACAATATCCAAAGCCTATAACAAGGTCAGCGCAATGCATCAAGATTTTATCCATCACTCTGCATATGTCAGTAACCACTAAGAATGACAATGCGGTCTTCAAATTGTTTGGAAAGTACAAAAACAACTCCAGAGAATGAACGTTGCTCTGTATTTCATGGTCCCGCATCAACTTTAGAAAAGGCCGGCATCTAAGCCAAAACCTGAACCTCCCTCCAGCCGAGCACCGACCCTGGGGAGACAGGGGTGATGTTGACCATGTGTCCTACTAATCATCTCCATGATGGACCCCACTACTGGGTAAAATAGACACCCCCCTGCCTGAACCCCTAAACCCCCTTAACCCTTCCCTAAACCCTCTGTTGGCCCCCCGTTGTGCGTGCTCATTGGCTGACCGCCTTCAGGCGTCCCTTTTCCACAGGCCCATTGTCTGGCCCCATAAGCAGCTTTGTTTCTGCATGTGCAGCTGGGCTGGCCCGCGCAGCCATTAGCCACAACACGCTAAAAGGAGAGCGGGATAATATAATTACAAAACAAAAGTCAGGTGGCTCACGAGATCTGCCAGAAAAAGCCCATTTGGGGGAGATGCGAGGACACGCTGGCGGGTGGCCAGCTATAATTCGATTATGAAGTTGTGTGAGTGACAAAAGAAACAATTGAATCTTTTTTTTCTTTTATTTGCCACACTGTGGTCTAATTTGATTTCATCGGGGCCTTAAAAAGAAA